CTTTCAATCTCTTTTTTTTTTCATTTGATTTTCAACATACTTTCACAATTTTAAAATATATTTTGAATGTTAATGATCGATGATAAATTAACGAAGAAATGATTTCCACCATCTTTAATGATACTTTAACAATCTTTAACCAATTTAAAACAACAAATACTTAGTTTCTTTTTTTTTTTTTTTAATGTCTGAATTGTCAATTGCATACAATTAAATTTCTATTCCTTTTTTCATTTCCTTCTGCTTTTTCAAATTGTAAAAACTATATTATTATATTAAATACAATCATTTGAAATAAACTTCTCAAGGAATTATTATTTAAATTTTATTTAGAAATAAAATCTATCGGATTAAAATTTTCTAAGGGAATGAGTAAAATTTTTAAAATCTGAATTTATTTAAAATTTTTTTTTTTTGGAACCTAAATTGATAAGGATAGGTGTATATAAGCTATGATATAAGATTTACTGCTTATGAAAAACTCTTTGTATTACTGATTAATTAATTCATTGTGAACTTTTATGACAAATTCTTTGCTTAAAATGAAGAAAAAAGAAACATCCTTTATTATTTTGAACATAGGTATTAGATGTTGCTATTATCAGTAACTTTATCAATAATTGATTGCAGTCTCGGTATAATCTTTATCAATGATTAACACTAACTTCATGAATTTCAATTACATCTCTCAGTTTAACTGTAATATGATCATCTTATTATTTTGATAGTGAAGGAAAAGAAGTAAATATTTGTTATTTGTTGAAATGAATGAAGCAAAATTATTTTATAATTCAGCAATAGAAAGCGGGAAAAAAAATTTATGAGGAAATAGCGGGGGGCGGGGAGAAGAATGGAATGAAAAAAAAAAGTAAATAAGAATGTTTGGATCTTTTGTACTTTGAAGCATAAATTTATTGATAGTTTAAAAAACAAAACAAAAAAAAGAAAGAAAAGAAAACAAACAAAAACCAGAAAGTATTTAACTAGTTATAGTGATAACTTTAAAAGTATTAATATTTTCGGATCAAATTGATTTTCTTTTTTTTTCTTTTCTTTCCTTTTAATCATTAATTAAAAATAATGAAAGAGAAGATAAAAAGGGAAAAAAATTTTGAAAAATTCCTTAAATTCTTTCATTTCTAACTAATAAAAAAAAAAGTATTGAAAAATGAAATAAAATATGAAGAGAAAAATAATTAATTACAAATTTTATCTCTTTGCATTTCTTCCTTCTCATTTTTTCCTTTTTTTTTTTTTTCTTTGTAAAATGATTTAATTAATGCTTTAGCGAAAGGAAAAAACTATTTGGAAAAGATATATGTTGTTATTTGCATTAAATATTATTATTACTATTATTTTCAAATTTCAAAAATCTGAAATGAAAAATTGAAATTTGATAAAATTGTCATTTGTATTTTGCTAATTATGCAGGATTTACATCTATTGCTGGTTATCATTCATTGGATCGTAAAACACATCTATTGAATTACTATCGAATATCTGATGATAATCCGTATCGGTATGATGCTTACTTTCATTTGAAACGAATAATTTTATAATTTATTAATTAGAAATTAAATAAAGAAAAAGGATTGGAATTATTTTAATTTCATAATTGATACTGTAAACGAGGAAGTGTTACATAAGGTTATAAAATAAACCTATAAAAAGTTTACGAAAAGTTTTGTTATAAAAAGTTTTTTTTTTAAATAAACCCATTATCATTACTTAATTGAGAGTAATTTAGATAATCTATCATTGATAATTATATGTTAATTTATAATCTTTGGTTTACTTCTTTTTTCTTTTTCGTCATTGTTATATATTTTAAATCAAGAATAATAAGGAAAAGTTGAGCGAAAATTACAAGAAAGAAAAAGGAAGAAAGGAAAAAGAAAAAAAGAACTTAACCGGAAATTGTGGAAAAGTGAAGTAAAAAAATGATTGGCCGGAAATTAGTTGAATAAAATGAATGTAAAATATGTTAATTTTTTTTCCAGTAATTTTTATTGGCGACAAAAAATTAATTCTAGGTTAGCAGCAGTGGGACAGGAAACATCTGCTGCGACATTAGCAATGGTAAGTCCTCGACATATCGCATCAAATCGACATCAATTTACATTAGCGCAAGAAAATATGGGACATACTTTGGCAAATCGGCATAGTATTACTGGTTTGTTTCTGTCTTTTTTTTTTCTTATAAATTTAAATTTCAAAGAAATAAATTATTTAAAATAATATCATAAATATTTGCTAAAATTTTTGTTCATTTTGTTTCATATCAAACATTGAATTTTAAATTATTTCCATAATTAAATTAATAATTTTAATTATTTGTCATCTAAAATATGATTAGAATAAAAATGAATGTTTAGATAAAATCTCTTATTTTTTCTAACAAATGAAAGTAAAAAGAAAAACTCAGTTACTTTTACTGTTACAATTTTCAAAAAAAAAAAAAACTGTTACAGTACTGTTACAGTCTTCAAAGTATTGATTAGTTTTGAGTTTAAATTATTAATTTGAATTATTGTTCCTTACATATATGGATTTTGAAGGAGGAATTTCAAATGGTTTCCTTTTTCCTTCTAAGAAAATTATAAATCTGGAGATGAATTATTTATGATTTTGATAAAATGATCAGCGGCATTATCGCTTTTTAACTTTAATTGATTTGGTTTAAGTAGATTTCATTTAAATTTACCGTAATATTCGCAATGATACCATACTGTATTCATATTAGTACGGTATTTTTGTATGAGAGCAAAATATGCCCCAAATTTTCCGATAATTAAATTTGAATTTGAATTTGCAAGAATTATTACGTATTTAATTTAGCCAAAAAAAAATTTACTTAGTTGTTTAATTTTGCAAATAATTAATTTAACACTGATTTTGCATGATATACCATCATTTCGCATTGTTTTTTTTTTCTTTTTTTTAACAAAATATTTTCTTTTTGCTTTTTTTTAGTTTTTTTTTTTTTTGTTAGTAGAATTGGTTAAAGTTAAATTTTGCTTTAATTATATGACTATGAAACTTCTTCCCTATTTTTCTATTCTTTTTTTTTCCAAATTAATTAATAGCTATGATGCTTAAGCTTTATGGTAAAGTTTGGCAAATGCTTATTTGCAGTAGCTATTCATTTAATCATTAAAGCTTGGTTTTTTCTTTTTGCTTGAAAAAAATTTTTTCAAAGTTTTATTTATATTTTTGATTATTTTTTTCTTTTTTCTTTTTTTTTTTGATAAAAAATGTTGCTTAATTAAAATATATTAAAAGTATAGTTGTATTACAAATTTTTCAAATTGAATATTAATCTGATGAAAAAATACTTCCCATTCATTTATATAAAAAATGGTCATCTAAAAATTGACCGCATCAATTAGTAGATGTATTTAAAATGGCTATCTAAAAATTGACCACACCATATTAGTAGACTTTGTTGCGCATATTTTATTAATTTATGTTTGATTTACTTATGTAATTATTTGTTTTTTTTTTCCTTTTATGCAAGTAACTATTACTATCATTCATTTTTTTTTTTTTTTTTTTTTTTTTGCTTGCTACTTTTGTTATAGCTAAGCGAACCGCTTCGCTTTCCTCAGCTGGAATGTCACGATCGATGGTTTTGGTTACTGGTAGTGGTTCAGATTCAAGTGGTGGTAATTCACAACCATCAACACCTGATAATACACCTAATTATCGAATTGGTAGCCGTTCACCGTTAATGACTAATCCAAAAATGGTTATCAAGCATATACCGCTTAGTATTGCTGCAGAAATTCCGACTACTGAAAGAAATTTCACGAATAAACGTACAGGTGGTTATAACTCCCATTATTACAAGCATTCTTATCAGCTAGTTAATTAGTATAGACAATATTATTATCATCATTATTGATGTTTTTTTTTTCCTATAATTATTTCAATCATCTTTGTTAATATCATCATAATAATTGATCGAACATTTATCGAAGGTCATCGCAAATGTCCAATATAATCCTAAGCATACATTATCCAAACGAAACTTGTTTACTCACCTGCTCATGTCACCTGATGACATTTTTAGCAGGTCACTCACTGTCAGTTCGATGACCAACAAAGAGCAGATGTTTGTGCCATCAATACTCTCTTTGATAATTCCATCATCTGGTCTCATTTGGTCATCGAATGACACTTTACACTTCCCGGTCATTTTCAGATCGCTGTCATTTCATTTGATGGTTCTACAGGAGTCATTTTAGCTTATATTAGCTTTATTTAGGCCTCATTAGGCATGTTAATATTGCAATCTGTAACAGTTTATTTGAATCTACCAAATGTCAGGTGTTCTTGAACTCTTGCCTTCGTTTAGAACTTAGACCTTCCACTTTCGTCAGCAAATTTCTTTTCCTTATCTTTCTCTCTCTCTCTCTCTCTCTCTCCCTTCCTCTCTCTCTCTCTTTGCACTAATCATCTGATATAGTATACAGTTAACAATTCTCATATAATTATACTACCTTCTACTCTAATTTTATTAATTAATCACTGGCAAAAAAAAATTTCCTTTAAATCTAAATTTATTAATTAACTTTTAACACAGAAAAAGTAATTTTACATTGCTTGCATTTTCATTGCTTTCTTTTTACTTTTTTTAAATTCAAATTTTAAACTAATGCATGTTATTTTGCTATTTGCATCCGCGATGAAATTTCGAACATACGTGTTGAATCACGTCAAATCATCGACTCTACCAAAATGACTTGATATGATTCGACACGTATCTAACAGAGCAGATAACTTGACGTGATGATACGTACTTACTATTGCTCATAACGTGATAACACATTTCTTACCGTTTCTGCTTATTTCAATTAATTCCGTTATTGCAATTATCACCAAATTGATAAAGGTTTAACTGATTATAATGCCTTAATTGATTGCTAATTTGCAAAAATACACATATTGCGATTATCACCAAATTGATAAAGATTTAACTGATTGATTATGATGCCTTAATTAATTGCTAATCTGCAAAAATGCACATTGCAGGGATTTTTAATTTAAATTTTGAATGTTTCGAAATATTATACACTAAATGAATTAATTGCTCCAAACAATGCTATTATTGCGAAATTTTAATTTGAAATTATCAAATCTTATGTCTAAAATTCAAAATCTTTATTTTTCAAGTTTTGAAAGATATTCATTTTTTTTTCCTGAAATCATAAAAATTTTAGGAAGTTCATTGTCAAGTCGTAAATCTCAAATGGAAAATGCATATGCAAATTATGCTCATCGTGATGCAAATCTTCAACTTCATAAACTTTCTGATGATGGTATTAGGTATGTAAATATTTTCACCTATGTCAAATATAAAAAGAGAAAAATTAACTGATAACGGTAGGGGAAAAAAAAAAGAAGGAAAAGGATATTTCAATTATTTCCAATTACTAACAATGATAAGAATAGTATGATAAAATTATCTTTTAATTAATTAAATGGGATAATAATCCATGATGAGAATAGTGTGATAAAATGATCTTCAATTAATTAAACTATTATCCATGATGAGAGTAGTAAAATGATCTTCTAATTAATTAAATTATTATCCATAATATGAATAGTGTGATGAAAGGATATATGAGTTTATTAAATTAAGATTTATTTAACTAATTACTGTCATCTGATTTTTTTTTCCCTTAAACACTAATTAATGAAGTTAGTGAGGAATTAAACATTAAGTTTACATATTTGACAATTATATAAGCAGTTCATTGACAAAATCAATGAGATTTTAATAATACTATTCAAAAAAAAAAACTTTTTAACATTTCACATAAACGTTAGATTATCAGTGATAGTACTACTTTATGTTTATGATTAAATAGTAATTATTACTGATAATCCTACCATTTATGACAAACATTTTCAGTATTTTTTTCCTTTTTTTTGCTAAATTTACTATAAATTTAAATTAATTCAAATTTAAATTCAGAACACCACAGATGAAAACATCTCGTTATGCAGAATCTGGTTATCTTTCTGCAACATCAAAATTATCACCAAATGGTTCACCTGCTGAAGCAAATGATTCACAACTATCCTTTACATCATCCTCTAATTCGTTGTATTCATCGGTATATACATTTTATATGATATATGGAACTGATATATTTTGAGTTCAAATTTAATTTTTTTTTTTCCTCTCATCTCCTCGTTTCTGTTCAATTCAATATTAATTTTTACTTTTCTTTTTTAATATTTTCAACAACTATTAAGATGGAAATAATATACACACATATATATACATATAATAGAAATTGATTTTCAAACGAAATTAATTTTTTTTTCTTTATATTAAATGGAAAAACAAAAATCGTCCATTGAAATATAACTTGTCGGATTAATTAATTATTCGGTTTTAAATTATTCCAGTAATCAATTTCTTGTTTTTATTTTTCCTACAACAAGATAGTAATACAATTGGCAAAAAGAAAATAAAAAAGATGAAAATATTCGATATTTTACAAGTTTAATGTATCATCCGTTTTCATTTTTATTCGTTTCGTCTTCATTTATTTTTTTTTCCTTATTTTTTTTTTTTGTTAACTTTTAATCGCCAAAATTTTTTATTAACAGTTTTTTTTTTTTAACTTTTAATTGGCAAAATTTTTGATATTTTACAAATTTAATATTATTTTTTTTAAAAAAAAAATTATTACTAATATTATTATTATTTAATATCATTATTTTTTTTATTTAATATTATTATTTTTTTTACATTATTTAATATTATTATTTTTTAAAAATTCAATTTAGATGGAAGAAAAATATGAAGCAGAAATTCGAAAATTGAATAGAGAAATGCAAGCATATCGAAGTACGATAACAAAATTAACTGCAAAACATGATGGTTACAATCATGTCATTCAACTTTTTGAATCAAAATTACAACTAATGGCAAAACATGTGGAAAATTTGCAAAATAAATCACAACTTAAGGTAATTCTTATTTTTGTTTTCTGTTTTTGATAACGAAAAATATTTTTTCTTTTTTACTTTAATATGTTTAAGATATCTCGGGATGTCTGTTAGGATTTTCCATATTAATTAATGTATATGGAAGATGATGGATATGATTTAGTTTACAGTTTTTATTTTTAAAATTATAGCTTAAATAATCAAAATGATTTTGAAAAGAAAAATTTTCATGATTCCTTCTACTGTGATATTTATTTTGTAATCTATTATTTAATTCATTTTATGACAAAAATTATTTCTGAAGAAAATAATTTAAATATTTAAAATTTTTCTGAAGAAAATTTAAATATTTAAAATTTTATGCTCTTTCTTACTGTAATATTGATTTCATAATCTACCGTATAATTGCTTAGATCATAACATTTGCACACTTTTGCATAATTGTTATATTATTTTATGATTTACGACAGTATTATATTAATAATAAAATTATTTGCCAGCTTTTAAACTAATATATTTACATCATTTTTTACAATGGTTAGAATTTTAGTAATTATTAAAATATTAACTTGTCGTATTGAAATATCAACTTATCATATTAAAATATCAAGTTATCATATTAAAATATCAACTTATCATATTGAAATATCAACTTATCAGTAATAAAGAAAGGTATTTTAGAAGGATGAAGTATTAAAATTACGGGCAGAAATTGAGCAACTTCGTATGATGAGCATTAATGCTGGTGTTAACGTTACTGGTAGTATTGCAACTATCACACAACGTAAAAGTTTATCACCACAATCGGTTAGTTTTATCAAATTTTTGTTTATATTTAAAATTAAAATTTTGCAAAGATTATTTAAGGATAAGAAACAAAGAGAGAGAGAAAGAGAGAGAGAGAGAGAGGAGGAG